GAACAGAAAACCAAGTTTACCCAGACGGCAGGAATTCTCCAGCACAACTGCCCTCAGCCCTCCAGTTCCCTTCTTGTTCCTTTGAAGTGCAGGAGAGGAAGAAGGGAGGACAGACATATCCTGGGAATCATCTTGGGATTTGGCTCTAGTGCTTTAAACCAATTCATTCTCTGTCCCCAAAACCTGAAGCAAAGTCCTATTCCAAACCCAACTAACCGGAAGGCAGGCCCAGAAGGAAGCCCCTTCCCGGTGGTCCTGGCAGTCCCTGTTCAGGGGGCTGCCGAGAGGGGACAGGGTAGGCCACCCTGCAGACTACCTCTATCCAGCTGTAACAGGCGCTAGGAAGGCATCTGCCACCTAAATAAATGCGTCCCTCCGTGTTAGCACTTTTGAGCAAGACTTATCAGTCATTACCTTATCTTCTTCTTCTTTTTTTTTAAATATTTTACAGAGAGGAAGGGAGAGAGTTAGAAACATCGATGAGAGAGAAACATCTGCACCCCCTAGTGGTCTTTGTGCGCAGTCTTGTTCTAGTTGAGCCTTGATTGTTGTAGTTAATACTAGAGGGATTTGACCACCAGGCCGACTGGCTGTGTGAATCAGCTGTGTCTGCCGCGGAAAACTTCTGTCCTCTGGGGAGGTGCTAATCTAGCCTTTGCCTGAGGCGATCCGGCAAATGGCTCTGCGCAGGGCTTGGGCGGGGCGGGCTCAACAGGGCGGGCGGAGGGAGCCGTTATGGTGCCCTCAGTCCTGTTCCCAGAGGCTCTGCTTCTCAGAACCCCCGGAACCGCTGCAAACCTCGGAGGGAAAGCTGCCTTCCAACTGATGCCAGACACTCCCGCTTCTCCCGTTTGGGTCCGAGTCCCCAGCGATTCGCCCGTATCTGGAGCTCAGAGTCTGAGACTCCCCCCTGACCGAAAACGACAACCGCGCTCTCAGCCACCAGCCCGCTTTGCGCGCGCACCTCCGCACCTGAGTATTTTCCACACTGCGCCTCCTCTGAGCCTCGGTGTGCTGTTATTTTTCCTTCTAGTTGAAGAGTCTCTCCTCAGCCAGCCTTCCTGTGGTTCTGGGTGATGTCCGTTCCGTCTTTTAGTTGTATTTTTGAAGTGGTTGTTTGCGGCAGCAGTCTCCGGTGTTTACCTATGCCGCCATCTTGCTCGGAATCCTCTGATAATGTTCTTGACGAAGAGTTCATAACTGTTATTTTCTTCTTGTTTGCTTATTCTTGCATTAGCAGTTTCTTTGTAAAAATCTTCTTAAGCTACTTATCTACTTCAAGAAGGTTAGTTTTGTTAAACATAGATATTAAATTCCATGAACACACATCAAGTACAGTCTGTAAAAACTTGCTGAAAAGTCCCTTTGTTCGCCCCTGCGATTTTAAAATATATTTTTAAAAACCCTAATATAAAGCATTTTCCTTTCCACAGTTTCATTAAGGTCTACATTTGATTGAAGCAGCAAGTGGATGACTATAAATACACCCTACTGTATACCAAGTTCTGCTTGTTTCTACTATTTCCATTATACCCATATCCTGTAATCCCTTTTTTACCGTTTTCATTTTCTCCTAATGTGTTTCTTCCACCATATTAACTTTCCACATGCATAAATTCCTATTCTTTCCATGCCTTTGTCTTGGTACACATTTTAAAAAATATGTATTTTTATTGATTTCAGAGAGGAAGGGAGAGGGAGAGATAGAAACATTAATGATGAGAATCATTGATTGGCTGCCTCTCGCATACTCCACACTAGGGTTTAAGCCTGCAACCCGGGCATGTGCCCTGACCGAGAATCGAACTGTGCCTTCATGGTTCATAGGTCGATGGTCAACCACTGAACCACGCCAGCCCGGCTTTGTACACATCTTTAATGTCACTATAAAAAAATGTATCATTTTTTAGGTATGTCAAAACAGAGTTACCTTCAAAGTATAGTTGTACAGTAAAATTACTGTATTCATTATTGTCTCTTTTAATGAAACATTACATGCCATACCTTAGATTTTTTAAAGGACAATGGTTCGTTACAACTAATTGTACCATTTTGTAGAAAAGGAACTAAGGAAAACCAGGAATCATCTCTTAAAGATTTCATAATAATACTTTAGGTTGCAATGTATTTGAGCTCGTAAGATTCTAGCTGGTGCACTCATCAAGGTCCTCTGATCTCCCCCTATAACACACTAAGAACCCACAAAGATTCACTTTAATAGACGAGGAAGTATTCCTGGGGGTTAGTAACAGAACTAGGAATTGAACCTATAGCTCCTGAAGTCCAGGCCTTCATTTCTTTAAGCTCTATCGCTTTTCGTTGGCACACATAAGGATTGTGGATATAGAGTAGCTTTTTCTTTGACTTGCTGATATAACAGATGTTATATTTAACCAGTTTTATGACCATTGCTCCTTTGGCTTTAGTGTTTTTCTATAATCTTCATACTCAGCTTTATGAGTGTTCAGTGTACAAAATGTGTTCGATTGGTCTATTCTGTATTGTATAACTATCTCATACCAGATTATTGTTACAAAGAAGAGCTGTAAATACAACTTTTCCCATACCAAGAAAATAAATAAAAAATCCAAAGAATAATTTTATAGCATCTTATAGTATGTATCACATATGACATGATAGTGTAATATAGCCTTTACTATGGGCTGTAGAGTCAACCTTGGATTCAAAATCTAACTCTGGAACTTACTAGCTATGCCATCTTAGGCTTTGTTACTTTACTAGGGACTTGCCCTACATACAAAATGGGGCCAATACTTTTACATATAATCATCCACAGTGCTTATTTTGAGACTAGCAAACACATAATTAGCATTTTTCCATGGTCTTACATCTTAAGAACAAATCTCTCATTAGTTGGCTCTAGTCCAAGTGATGGCAACAGCTAAAATGACAGTGGTTTGTGTGCTTTGTAGCTCCTATGGAATCCAGGCAGTAGGTCCATACATTTTTTTAAAAATTGATTAGAGAAAGGGAGAAACATTGATTTGTTGTTCCACTTCTTTATGCATTCATTGGTTGATTCTTGTATGTGCTCTGAACAGGGACTGAACCCACAACCTTGGTGTCGCGGGACAACACCCTAACAACGGACAGGGCAAGACAATGTCTTTTAATTGGAATGCTTTAGAGTTTAAATTTTAGACCATTTGCTATAATTAATATAATTAAGTTTAAATCTTCCACCTTGCTATTTTTACTTGTTCTATTGCTTTTTGTTCCTTCTCTTTATTCCTTGTTAAACTCTTCCCTTATCTTATTTATCTTTTTTTATTCCATTCTACCATATTCCATTTATTACTATCAGCTTATTAGAAATTCCTCTCATTTGTTTAGTAATTTCTCAAGCTTATATTTACAAATTAAAATTTACAAAGAAAAAAAATCATGCGTTTTATTTAGCTCAGCGGTTCTCAACCTGTGGGTCACGACCCCTTTGGGGTTGGAACAACCCTTTCACAGGGGTCACCTAAGACCATCGGAAAACACATATATAATTACATACTGTTTTTGTGATTAATCACTATGCTTTAATTATGTTCAATTTGTAACAATGAAATTGGGGGTCACCACAACATGAGGTACTGTATTAAAGGGTCGCGGCATTAGGAAGGTTGAGAACCACTGATTTAGCTTTTTTTTTTTTAATCCTCACCCGAGGATATTTTTCCTTGATTTTTAGAGTGGAAGAGAGAGGTAAACCTAGAGAGAAATATCAATGTGAGAGAAACACATCGATTGGTTGCCTCCTACACATGCCCTGACCAGGGCCTGGGCCAGGGAGAAGCCTGCAACCCAGGTATGTGGCCAGAATCGAACCGGGGACCCGTCAGTACACAGGCTGATGCTCTATCCACTGAGCCAAAGTGGTTAGGGCTTAGCTTTGTTATTAAAGCAAAAAATATCTCTTTTCAACAATCTGAGTTGTCTCAACTTTAGAGATTTAATTAAATTTTTTAAATTCAATGTGGGAAAAATGTCTAGTGTATTGTTAGAAAAAATGTCACTTTTCACAACATGGGAAAGAGGACTAAATCAAGAGTAGAAAATATCACAATAAAGAAAAATGAACATGATACATAGTCAATCAGAACTGGGCAGGAAGTATCTAATCTAATAGTATAATACTGTAGAGGTCTCTCTAACCACCTGCAGGAGATAGTAAAAGCAGCAAGGCCAACCACCATTTACAAACCTGTTCATACACCATGTTCATAGCCGCATTATTTATAATAGCTAAAATGTGGAAGTAACCCAAGAGTCCATCAATGAATGGATAAGCAAATTATGACATATACATACAATGTAATATTATTCAGCTTTAAAAAGAAAGGAAATTTTGATGCTACAACATGGATGAAACTTGGGGACATCAGGCTAAGTGAGATAAGCCAGTAACAAAGACTGTATAATTCCACTTCCTAGTACATGAGGTGCTTAGAGAAGTCAAAATCATAGAGACAGAAAGTAGAATGGTGGTTGCCAGGTGTTGATGTAAGGGGGAGTAGGGAATTATTGTATAACTAGAGACCCGATGCACGAAATTTGTGCAAGAATAGGCCTTCCTCCCCCCAGCTGCCAGCATCAGCTTCCCGGGACCTGGGCTTCCCTCCAGCCCTGGCTTCGTCCGGAAGGACGTCAGGTCTAATTAGCATATTACCCTTTTATTATTATACATGGGCATAGACTTTTAATTTTAAAAGATGAAGAGCTATGGAGATGGATGATGGTGATGGTTGCAAATTATGAATGTATTTAATACCAGCAACTGTACACTAAAAAATAGTTAAGATGGGAAATTTTATCACTATTTAATTTTTTTAAGACCCTGTCCATTTAAAACATACACATTTGTTGAAATATATGCTGGCTGGCTGCTCTGTAGAGAATGCACTGCTATGTGTACCTCAACCACCACATGTTCTAAAGCAAATCTAATATGGTTTGAAACACCTTTTTTTTTAAGAATGACAAAACCAGACTGGAACATGTATTCTTTATTAAATCTTACTAGTATCTTTAAGGGACACACAGATGAGTAGGCTACAGTGAAGAAATCTTATTTTAATAACAGAGTTAAGAACCACTAAGATACTTCCAGGTAATATCTTCAGTGATGCTTCTTATCTTTATTCTGGGACTCCAGGAAATATTCAACCCCTACAGCTACCACAAATGCAGCAAATCCCCATTTGAATCCTTTTAACATTGCACCAACAAAGGTAACATTGTCTGCAAAGCCACCCATGTATCTCCAAGCTTCATTGCTAGAAAAAAAAAAGGGCAAAGGTTATAATCACATACATGCACATTCACTGAGTACAATACATTTAATTTTCATCTTTTTAACAGATGCAGATGCAACCTTATATAAGACCATCTAAATGGACCACAATAGGTATCTTTCTGTGACATAGGACGATTAGGTCTATATGCCCACGTTTCACATATAAAGTAGAAGAAAAAACACTTGATTTCATATTCACAATCATAATACTCAGGATTTTTACAAAATCCTCAAATGCAAGACTTTCTTTGGCCCTATCCATCACAGGTCAGCCGTGTGGCTTTGCCTATACTAGTCATTACAGCATCATGGACAGAGGTAGTTAGAGTATTAATCTTTGCTCTGCCACTTACACTAGATTCACAACCTTTTAGGATGGGCAAGTTACTTAACCTGTCAGGGCCTGCTTCCTCTCCTACTCAGTGATGACTGTCTACCTTATAGTGTTATTATAAAGAATAAACAGGGTGATGTGTGATACATTTTGGCACAGAGAGTATGTAACATTTGACATTATTCTTACTACTAATACATTTCTCTGTCACAGCAGCCTGAAGTTTAGAAGACTGATTTCCTGCTCTGGCAATCACTCTTCTGAGCACCCTAAACAGAGGTGTAAACAGAAGTCTGAGACCTCTCCTGAAAACAGTCTTCTCTCACAGGCAGCGATAAGTGAGTGGGAAAAAAAAATCATGTTATGAAGAACAACAACCACTTAAGTAAAAATCTGACTTATTAGAAAATATAAGCTAAGCAAATACAATTTAGATAACCAAAGTTAGACAAAGACATTAGAAGAAAACTATAGAGTAATATCCCTCATGAACACAGATGCAAATATTCTTTTTTTATTTTTAATTTTTATTTATTTTAGATGCAAATATTCTTTTAAAAAAATATATTTTATTGATTTTTTTACAGAGAGGAAGGGAGAGGGATAGAGAGAAACATCGATGAGAGAGAAACATCAATCAGCTGCCTCCTGCACCCCCCCTCCCCCCCCCCAACTGGGGGCACCCCCCCTCCCCCCCCCAACTGGGGATGTGCCCGCAACCAAGGTACATGCCCTTGACCGGAATCAAACCTGGGACCCTTCAGTCCACAGGCTGACGCTCTATCCACTGAGCCAAACCGGTTAGGGCAGATGCAAATATTCTTCTTTTTTTTTTAATGGCAGATGCAAATATTTTTTTTTTTTTAAATATATCTTTATTGATTTCAGAGAGGAAGGGAGAGGGAGAGATAGAAACATCAATGATGAGAGAGAATCACCGATTGGCTGCCTCCTGCACATCCCCCACTGGGGACAAAGCCTGCAACCCAGGCATGTGCCCTTGGCTGGAACCGAACCTGGGACCCTTCAGTCCGCAGGCCGACACTCTATCCACTGAGCCAAACCAGCTAGGGCAGATGCAAATATTCCTAACAATATTTTAGAAAATTGAATCCAGCAATATATATAAAGGATAATATATCATGATGAAATAAAATTTATCTTAGGAATTCAAGATTGGTTTAATCTTTGAAAAACCAATAAGAGTAATTCATCATATTAACAGAATAAAAGAACTATGCGAGCCCTAACCAGTTTGGCTCAGTGGATAGAGCATCAGCCTGCGGACTCAAGGGTCCCAGGTTCAATTCCGGTCAAGGGCATGTACCTTAGTTGCGGGCACATCCCCAGTAGGGAGTGTGCAGGAGGCAGCTGATTGATGTTTCTCTCTCATCAATGTTTCTAACTCTCTATCCCTCTCCCTTCCTCTCTGTAAAAAAATCAATAAAATATATTTAAAAAAAAAAGAACTATGTGAGCATCTCAATACATGCAGAACAGGCAAGAATGTCCATTTATACCACTTTTATTCAACATTATACTAGGAGTGTTAGCCAGTACAATAATGCAAAGAAAATAGAAATTAAAAGTTTATAGATTGAAAAGGAAGAAATAAAACAAGTGTACACAAAGTGATCACTTATGAAGTACAGTCTAAACAATCTGTAAAAAAAATTTTGGAACTAAAAAGTGAATTTAGCAAGGGAACATGATACAAAGTCAACATATAAACCCCAATTATATTTTTATATATTAGCAAAAAACTGAAAATTAAAGTTTAAAATACCATTTACAATACTATTAAAATATGGAAAAACTCAGGATAAATTTAATAAAATATGTAAAGACCTATATATAAAGCAATAAAACACTGCTGAGGAATTAAAGAGGATCTAAATTGTTCATGGACTAGAAGATTCTATAGTGTTAAGATATCGATTATCCTCAATTGAGCTATAGATTCAGTGAAATCCCAATTAAAATCTAAGAAGGCTTTTTATAGAAACTGAAACATTCAATCTAAATTTTAAATGTAAATGCAAAGAACCTAAAATAGCTTTTTTTAAAAATGGAGATCTTATGCTACCTGATTTGAAGACAGTGAAGTATTGTCATAGAGTGGACATATTGATCAGGATAACAGAATAGAATCCAGAAATAGACCACACAGATATTGTCAATTGATTTTTTACAAAGGCATAAGGTAAATCAATATGGGAAAGACAGTCTTAGCAAATGGTGCTGGAACAACTGGATGTCCAAATGCAAAAATACTTTCATCCTCACCTCACATGATATAAAAGTAACACTATAAAAACTTCTAAGAGAAACCATAGGAGACAATTTAGGGTGCAAAAAGCACAAACCATAATAGAAAAGTGCCAGATTGGGACTTCATCAAAATTTAAAACTCTTTGAAAGACATTATTTAAAAAATGAAAAAATAAGCCACACTCTTAGGAAAAAAACATTTGTAGCCCAGCCGGAATGGCTCAGTGGTTGAGCATCAACCTATGAACCAGGAAGTCATGGTTTGATTCCTGGTCCGGTGTTGGGGGCCAGATGTAAGCTGGCAAGGTCCTTGCACCTGAAGGGGCTAGCAAGGCTGGGACCCTTACCCACACAGTTTTCCCAGACTTGTTTGGATGGCGATTATCAGTAGAATGAGAACAGCCTTTCATGGCTTACCAAGAAGTCTGTAACTATTTACTGAGATATGCTGTACTGAGAACTTGTCCTTCTGCTGTGTCTCTCCCTTAGAGATTAAGAGGAACAAAGAATACATTCCTCTTGACAGACCTCCTATTCAATGTCTTGTGTATAAATAGGATTGTGTGGCTAATAAACTTGCTTCAGTTCCTCGAGAGCTATAGTCCTCCCGATCCCACTTTCCTGTCTTTCTTTCTTTTCTCAATTCTCACCTCCCTGCCTCAGCCCGGCTCAACCTGTCAGGCTGGCCCTGACAGTCCGGTCCAGGCATATACCCGGGTTTCAGGCTCGATTCCCAGTAGGGGTGTGCAAGAGGCAGCCAATCAATGATTCTCTCTCATCACTGATGTTTCTCCCACCCTTTCTCTCCCTCTCTCTCTCTCTCTCTCTCTCATCCTCTCTGAAATCAATAAAAATACATTTAAAAAAAGAAATATAAAAAAAAACCCAAAAAACATTTGTAAAATATATATCTGATAAAGGACTTAAATTTTAAAAACATATAGAGAACTCTCATCTATGTATATAAAAGGCTAATATGTGAAGTGTCCCCTTGGGAGTTCGACCAGGAGACCAGTTCAATTGCTCGCTATGACATGTGCTGACCACCAGAGGGTGGCGTGGAACAAAGAAAGGCCCTGGCTGGCAGCCGGCAGCAGGGGAAGGAAGGCCCCAGCCAGCAGCCAGAAGGCCCCGATTGGCCCTGATCACTGGCCAGGCCTAGGGACCCTACCCGTGCATGAGTTTCATGCACCGGGCCTCTAGTAATTCAGTAAAAGAAGACAAACACCCTGATAAGTAAATGGGCAAAATATGTGAATAGCCACTGCATCAAAGGGGGCAGGGAGAAAGCACTAATGACAAATAAGCACTGGAAAAGAATGCTATCATCATGTCGTCATGGAACCATGGAAATGCAAATTAAAATCACAAAGAGGCACAACATTCACTAAAATGGCTAAAATTAAAAGACCAATAATACCAGGGATTGATGAGGAGGACATTGAACAACTGAAATTCTCATACATTGCTGGTGGGATGCAAAATGGTACAGCTACTTTGAAAAACAGTTTGGCAGTTTTCCTATGAAAATAAACACACACTAATTCTATGATCCAGAAATCCTACTCTTAGAGAAATGAAAACATCATGTTCACTCAGACTTGTACTTGATTGGTTATAGCATCTTTACTCATAATGGAACGGTTAAAAACTGGAAACAACACAAAAGGCAATTAACTGGTGAACTGCAAACAAAATGAGGTCTGTGCACACAGTGGATATTGCTCAGCAGTCAATAAGGAAGGAACTAGGGATACAAGCTAACAATGCGCCTAAGTCTCCAAAGCAGCACACCAAGTGAAAGTGGCCAGGAAAGCGAAAACTGGAGACAAAAAGCAGATCAATGGCTGCCAGGAGCCAGGGGTCGGATGACACTGAGCGTGAAAGGGGCACGGAAGAACTTTTGGGGTGACAGAAATCGTTTTTATCATGACTGTGGTGGTTACATAATTGTATACATTTATCAAGACTCATGGAATTAAACACTTAAAATGGGTGAATTTTACTGTATGTAAATGGTACTTCAACAAAACAGATTTTAAAACTTTAATGTAAAAAGCCATTCTCAATGATTTTTTTTAAAAGGGAAATACATGAAAAAGAAACAGATAATGATTCTCTATGATAAATTCTATCTAAATTATTTAATGATTCTTACCGGCCCCATGGATCCTTGAGCCCCCGTGCCGCCAGCTTCTCCTGCACAGTTTCTAATGGTGTCCCTTCTATCTTCCATTTTCTATAATCTGGAAGTTCCATTTTACCATGACCATGTCCATGCTCATGTTCATGTCCATGGGCCATGTCTATAGGAAAAGATTAAAGTAAGAGAGAAATATGCACAATAACCAAGTGTACTATTAATGTTTTAAGGTAAAACATTTAAAATTAATGTTTTAAAGAGAGAACTAATAAAACAGTATGTTATTACATAACCAGTGTATGTTCACAGTTAGGAAACACACACATATAAAATAATCAATAATCCCATCACTCAGAGATGGTCATTTATTTTGTTTATTCCTTTCTCCATTAAAATAATGGCAGTGCCACGTACCCTAAAGGACTTTACATGTATTAACTCTGTTACTTCAAAGCAACTATTTGAACTTAAATTACAATTATTATCTTCATTTTATAGATGAAGACAATGAGGGTGCATGAAGGTAACTTTCTGAAGGTCACAACAATAATAAATGGTACAGCTGGGTTTTGAACCTTGCAGTTTGGTTTCAGAGCCCTTGTTCCTAATTTCTAAGCAATACCGTTCCTATCTTCCATTTTCTATAATCTGGAAGTTCCATTTTACCATGACCATGTCCATGCTCATGTTCATGTCCATGGGCCATGTCTATAGGAAAAGATTAAAGTAAGAGAGAAATATGCACAATAACCAAGTGTACTATTAATGTTTTAAGGTAAAACATTTAAAATTAATGTTTTAAAGAGAGAACTAATAAAACAGTATGTTATTACATAACCAGTGTATGTTCACAGTTAGGAAACACACACATATAAAATAATCAATAATCCCATCACTCAGAGATGGTCATTTATTTTGTTTATTCCTTTCTCCATTAAAATAATGGCAGTGCCACGTACCCTAAAGGACTTTACATGTATTAACTCTGTTACTTCAAAGCAACTATTTGAACTTAAATTACAATTATTATCTTCATTTTATAGATGAAGACAATGAGGGTGCATGAAGGTAACTTTCTGAAGGTCACAACAATAATAAATGGTACAGCTGGGTTTTGAACCTTGCAGTTTGGTTTCAGAGCCCTTGTTCCTAATTTCTAAGCAATACCGTTCCCTTTCTTCTAGTCCTTTCATTGTGCATAAATATGCATATTGAAGATGTTTTACATACTGATTTATTACTTTCTTTAGATGATCCTATTAAAATGCAGCATTATTGTGTTTAAACATATACATGATCGCACGAACTTTTTCTGTAAAGAGCCAGATAGTAAATATTTTAGACTATGTGGGTACTTATAAAGCAAGAGAAAACAACTTTCCACAAATATTTTGTTGATAACATTCAAAACATAATAATAACAGAGCATATTTTTTTGTAATACAGGTCTACTGATGAGGAAAATGGAATTTTTGGGGGGATAACATTTTGCTTCACTAGGGCTTAAAGTTTAGTGTTCCTTAATATCAAACTGATTGTACATGATTGTCTGTAAAAAAACATTATTAACTGATGGCCTGTACACAAAACAGACAATGGGTTGAATTTTTTAAAATAACATGTTCTTTTAAATTGATTTTTTAAAGAGAGAGAAAGGGAGAAAGAAAGGGGGTGAAGGGGGGAGGGGGGGAGACAGAGACACATGTATGCACCCCACAGGGGATGGAACCCGAAACCTGAGCATGTGACCTTATCTATTTATCTATCCATCATCTATTTGGCTCAGTGGTTGAGTGTCTACCTATGAACCAGGAAGTCATGGTTCAATTCCTGGTCAGGGCACATGCCTAGGTTGTGGGCTCGCTTCCCAGTAGGGGGTGTGCAGGAGGCAGCAGACCAATGATTCTCTCTCATCATTGATGTTTCTATCTCTCTCCTTCTCCCTTCCTCCCTGAAATTAATAAAAAAAATTTTTTTAAAAAGGACCCCTTTTTAATTGATAAGTTTGTTTCCTTAAATAAAATATGCCCTCAATAGTAACATAAAGACTTCAGTTTTACTAGTATTATTTTTATACATAACATAAAAATAAACTTCAGCTCACTGCGATGTGCCTTCCACTTTCACACCCAGGGGGCAAGAATGTGACTTAGCACAACCACTCTGAAAAACTGGCATGACCTAGAAAAGCTGAACATTTGAATACCTTATGGCCTAGCAATTCTATTCCTAAGTTTATATACTCTAGATCTGCATTGCCCAATATGTTAGCCACTAGCACTGGAATGAGGTTAGTGCAACTGGAGAACTAGACTTTCTATTTAATTTTAATTAATTTAAATTTCAAAATTGATTCTCAAGTTAATTATTGGAAAATTTAGAGTGCATTTCGAACAATTTGGGTATACAGATTTACTTTATCAACAGTAAATTTGATAAAATATAAACATAGATCAAGTGTTTATGAAAACAGCATACGAACATATTCTACAAGTGTAAAATACATAAATCTTGAAGACAGTATGAAGAAAACAAAATATTTCATTAATAATTTTTAACACTGATTATATTAAATTAATTTTATGTTTCTTTTTACCTTTTTAATATGGTTACTAAGACATTTTAAATTACATATATGGCTTGCATTATATTTTCATTGGCCAACACACTGCTCTATAGAAACTCTTGCATGTATATAACAATAGATATATTTTATAAGAACCTTTTTAACCACATCATTGATGCTAGCCCCAAATTATAAACAACCCAAATATCCAACAATGGATTAATTAAGAAATAGAAACCTATGGAATATCACACAACAAAAAACAACATGCAACAGTGTGAATGAATCTTACAAATACGATGATAACGGGGTGAATCATAATACATATACTTTGATCCCATTAATATAAATTGAAGAACCCAACAATTCATTTTTTAGGAATGCATTATAGATGGAAAATGAAATGAATGCTTGAAACAAGTGAATGCTTATCACAAGTCAGGACAGTAGTCACCCCTTGGTGGAGGACATAAAATCAGAGCTTCTAAGGTAGTGTTTTTCAACCTATTCTTAATTCTTGTACGCCAAAGGAGCTTTTTTCGACAGTTGTTTTCCTTATCACATTCTCGCTCCCCTCCTCCAATGAAATTTCAATACTACGGATATATTATATACATGTGTATGTACTGTGGCTCTTGGGAGGGCCACACACCACAGTAGTACCTATGATTTTTTCACACACTGTTCCATCCTCTCAGAACCAATTTTCATCTGCCTGAAGGCCTATCACTTGTGCTGAGAATGAGTGTTCTAAGGTATTGGCCATGCTTTACTTCCTAACCTGAAGGGTGGGTACACAAGTGTTTGCTTAATTATAATTCTTTAAAAAGTACTCATGTTTTATACACCCTTCTGTTATGTATACTTCACAGTAAAAGGGAAAATTAGATAAAGTGACAAATTATGCCAAGGACTCAACAACAGGCTATTATTTCCAGTTCAGAACTGTTCCAACAAGAATAGCAAGGAAGTTAGTTCTACAAAGAAAACCCATGTAATCCTGAAAATTTAAAAAGCTATCTACCTATGTTTGGAGTGAACCTGTAATATCAACCTCAACTAAAAGGGGCTGGAATCCCTAAGAAGGAAATAAGAGGATAATACCATTTACAACACATGCAATTTTACGGTTTACCAAAGACGTTCAAGCATACACCCCAATTTCCTCTCATTTTTAAAATTGTGGATACTCTTAAGAACATTAGAAAATAAAAGACGAATGAATTCTTAGTGTCCTTTCCAGTCCCTGCACCGATGTACATGCAATTTTAAAATAGTAAACATTTTAGAGTAAATCGCTCTAAAAATGGATGTGACTTTGTACCCTGCTTTTTTCACTTTAACATCGTGCCCAAAACATTCATAGCAGAAAAAAAAATCTCACTTAAAACTATACATATTTGTGAGGCAGGCATTAAAATTATTCCTCCATAATTTTTCTTAAAAAATATATTTTTATTGATGTCAGAGAGGAATGGAGAAGGAGAGGGAGATAGAAACATCACTGATGAGAGAGAATCATTGATTGGCTGCCTCCTGCAACCCCCCACACTGGGGATTGTGCCCTTGACCGGAATGGAACCTGGGACCCTTCAGTCCGAAGGCTGACGCTCTTCCCACTGAGCTAAACTGGCTAGGGCCCTCCTTCACAAATTTTTGATTTGGGGGCTGTTCTGCTTTATTCACCTCAAAGGTAAACAAACAAACAAAACAAAAACAAACAAACAAAAAACACGGGACGGGGTGCTGCTGGTGGCAGAGCAGGAAAAAAGCATGTGGACTGAATAACCCGTCATTCCCACTGTATCCTTGTACAACCACCCCCACCACCCCACGACTTCACAGTTCTCCCCCGCTAGTTCTTCGATCTCCTTCCGTCTGGAGCCACACACCCGCATCATCCTGCTTTATTTTGTCTCTCCCTTTCTAAATTCTCCAGAATAGATACCTCATTCCTAGTTCCAGTCAAGAGATCTCCCACCAACTCTCTAATTTACCTGACAGCAATCTGACCTCTCAGGACACTCAATAGTCAACCCTCCAGCCGGTGCCGACCGGAAGCGGAAGTTGTCACCTGGAGTTCCTCCCGGCAGGAAAGCCGAGAAGCCATGTAACGTTCCGGGACGGGGTCACAGACTTACGGACCAGGTGGAGATGACGCGAAGGAGGCTGACAGTCGACATTTTTTCCCCGCACATCTGTGCATCCGTCGTCTAACGACGATCGGTGCCATTGTGGAGGACAGAAGGGCGGGGCAGAGGCGACGTTTTCCTTGTTCGCAGACCGGAATCCCTTAGACGCTGCACCGAGGGGCGGGCCGCGGACCTCCTGCAGCCAATAAGTGAGGCTGTTGTTCAACGTGGACTCGGCCAGTGGGAGGGCTGCTTGTTGCGCTGCAGTTGGCAGGCGGCTGCGGGAGGCGGTGGCGGTAAGAAGCCGGAGGCAGCGGGGTGACAGGTAAGCGAGCGGCCGCGCTGTCTTTGGGGGGCGCGAGGGCTCCCGAGAAGGGGTGTTCACCTCCGGCTGCAGGAGCTCTCGCGGGGGCCTGACGGGGACGGTCTGGGAAGGTGGCAGCCGCGCTGTCGGTGGTTTCGGGACCTTTCGTAGCCCAGGTAGCCGCTGGGA